GATGAATCTTTTTCCCAGCTCCTTAAGGAATTTAGATGCATTCTTTCCTATATTTAATTCACAGATTTTTTAAAAATTTTGAAAAGTTCCTAAAAATCATTTTTTATTTTATATTTAGACTTTTCAGAGTTAGAGATATTTCCTAAAATTATTTATTTTTTAACTAAAACTCGTTGACTATTATACTTTTAATCTAAGTTTCATATAATTTACGATTTATCGGTCTATTTCCTGTTTGCCACTAAAATTTAAATATTTAACTAAAAATCCATTATTTTAGAATAAAATCTCTTAAGATTTTATCATACTTTTCATATGATTTTGTAAAAATCTGTAAAATATTAAAAATTATATATTGATAATATACGATTTTTCAGACTATTTCTTTCCACCAAAATTAAAAACAATTAAGTAATTTTTTGGGGGGGATATTTTGACATTTGAGAATAGTTGGAGGTATTTTCTGATATACTTAAAATTTTGGCTAAAATATTTTGATTATCATGAAACCTCATTATATTTTAACACCAGAAACTGTAATAATGTTGGTAGAATTACCCAAAATATGTTAGGTAAAAGGACACAGGGTCAACTAATGTGACATTATACTGTGACAACGTTTCGTTCTCCAGGAGTTTTGTCCAGTCGTAACGGCTTGACAAAGCTTCTGGTGAGCGAAACGTTGCCACAAAATGTCATATTAGTAGTACCTAGGAAGTGTACTAGCGATCATGTCAACGTTCTCAGTATAAGAAGATACCGACAAATCGTGACTCTTTTTTTAATTTCTACAAAAAATTGGGCTCCATTATAATTTACTTTCTCATAAAAAAAACCCACGTTTCAGTTTTTACATCTATTCTATGACCACATTACAGTTCTACCAATAAAGGGTTTGTAAATAACAAAAAAGTCGGACCGAAACGTCGTCGTAAGCTTCTCTCTTTTATGTGCGGGTTATTTGTGTAAAGGGTTTGTCATTGAAAAATTGGTAATATACCGCTATATTATCCCTAAGAACGGTTTGGATTATAGTAATGAAACTTTTGTTTCATTACAATTATACAGGAAAATTATTAAATGTTAATTTAAATTTCATTTATTGATTTCTTAATGCTGGCTGTAATTTAGGTACAAAGTTTTTTCATTATTTATACCAAGACAATGTTCCTAATGGATGATATTGTCCACGGCCTAATGGATGATATTGTCCACGGCCTAATGGATGATATTGTCCACGGTCTAATGGATGATATTGTCCACGGCCTAATGGATGATATTGTCCACGGTCTAATGGATGATATTGTCCACAGTCAATGGATGATATTGTCCACGGTCTAATGGATGATATTGTCCCGGCCCTAATTTGGATGATATTGTCCACGGTCTAATGGATGATATTGTCCACAGCCTAAAGGGATGATATTGTCCCCAAGCCTAATGGATGATATTGTCCACGGTTAATGGATGATATTGTCCACGGTCTAATGGATGATATTGTCCACGAATCTAATGGATGATATTGTCAGGGTTTCTAATGGATGATATTGTCCACAGCCTAATGGATGATATTGTCCACGGCCTAATGGATGATTGTCCACGGCCCTAATGGATGATATTGTCCACGGCCTAATGGATGATATTTTTCCACGGCTTAATGGATGATATTGGGTCCACGGCCAAAATGGATGATATTGTCCACGGTCTAATGGATGATATTGTCCACGGTCTAATGGATGATATTGTCCACGGTCAATTTGGAGATATTGTCCCGGTTAATGGATGATATTGTCCACGGTCTAATGGATGATATTGTCCAAAAGCCTAATGGATGATATTGTCCACGGCCTAATGGATGATATTGTCCACGGTCTAATGGATGATATTGTCCAGGGGCTAATGGATGATATTGTCACGATCTAATGGATGATATTGTCTACAGTCTAAGGGATGATATTGTCCACGGCCTAATGGATGATATGTCCACGGTCTAATGGATGATATTGTCCATGGTCTAATGGATGATATTGTCCACGGCCTAATTTGGATGATATTGTCCACGGTCTAATGGATGATATTGTCCACGGCCTAATTTGAATGATATTGTCCACGGTCTAATGGATGATATTGTCCACAGCCTAAGGGATGATATTGTCCACGGTCTAATGGATGATATTGACCACGGTCTAATGGATGATATTGTCCACGGTCTAATGGATGATATTGTCCACAGCCTAAGGGATGATATTGTCCACGGTCTAATGGATGATATTGTCCACGGTCTAATGGATGATATTGTCCACGATCTAATGGATGATATTGTCCACAGCCTAAGGGATGATATTGTCCACGGTCTAATGGATGATATTGTCCACGGTCTAATGGATGATATTGTCCATGGTCTAATGGATGATATTGTCCACGGTCTAATGGATGATATTGTCCACAGCCTAATGGATGATATTGTCCACGGTCTAATGGATGATATTGTCCACGGTCTAATGGATGATATTGTCCACGATCTAATGGATGATATTGTCCACGGTCTAATGGATGATATTGTCCACGGTCTAATGGATGATATTGTCCACAGCCTAATGGATGATATTGTCCACGGCCTAATGGATTATATTGTCCACGGCCTAATGGATGATATTGTCCACGGCCTAATGGATGATATTGTCCACGGCCTAATGGATGATATTGTCCACGGCCTAATGGATGATATTGTCCACGGTCTAATGGATGATATTGTCCACGGTCTAATGGATGATATTGTCCACAGCCTAATGGATGATATTGTCCACGGTCTAATGGTTGATATTGTCCACGGTCTAATGGATGATATTGTCCACGATCTAATGGATGATATTGTCTACAGTCTAAGGGATGATATTGTCCACGGCCTAATGGATGATATTGTCCACGGTCTAATGGATGATATTGTCCATGGTCTAATGGATGATATTGTCCACGGCCTAATTTGGATGATATTGTCCACGGTCTAATGGATGATATTGTCCACGGCCTAATTTGAATGATATTGTCCACGGTCTAATGGATGATATTGTCCACAGCCTAAGGGATGATATTGTCCACGGTCTAATGGATGATATTGACCACGGTCTAATGGATGATATTGTCCACGGTCTAATGGATGATATTGTCCACGGTCTAATGGATGATATTGTCCACGGTCTAATGGATGATATTGTCCACGGCCTAATTTGGATGATATTGTCCACGGTCTAATGGATGATATTGTCCACAGCCTAAAGGATGATATTGTCCACGGTCTAATGGATGATATTGTCCACGGTCTAATGGATGATATTGTCCATGGTCTAATGGATGATATTGTCCACGGTCTAATGGATGATATTGTCCACGGCCTAATTTGGATGATATTGTCCACGGTCTAATGGATGATATTGTCCACAGCCTAAGGGATGATATTGTCCACAGCCTAATGGATGATATTGTCCACGGTCTAATGGATGATATTGTCCACGGTCTAATGGATGATATTGTCCACGATCTAATGGATGATATTGTCCACGGTCTAATGGATGATATTGTCCACAGCCTAATGGATGATATTGTCCACGGCCTAATGGATGATATTGTCCACGGCCTAATGGATGATATTGTCCACGGCCTAATGGATGATATTGTCCACGGTCTAATGGATGATATTGTCCACGGCCTAATGGATGATATTGTCCACGGTCTAATGGATGATATTGTCCACGGTCTAATGGATGATATTGTCCACGATCTAATGGATGATATTGTCCACAGCCTAAGGGATGATATTGTCCACGGTCTAATGGATGATATTGTCCACGGTCTAATGGATGATATTGTCCACGGTCTAATGGATGATATTGTCCACGGTCTAATGGATGATATTGTCCACGGCCTAATTTGGATGATATTGTCCACGGTCTAATGGATGATATTGTCCACAGCCTAAGGGATGATATTGTCCACAGCCTAATGGATGATATTGTCCACGGCCTAATGGATGATATTGTCCACGGTGTAATGGATGATATTTTCCACGGTCTAATGGATGATATTGTCCACGATCTAATGGATGATATTGTCTACAGTCTAAGGGATGATATTGTCCACGGCCTAATGGATGATATTGTCCACGGTCTAATGGATGATATTGTCCATGGTCTAATGGATGATATTGTCCACGGCCTAATTTGGATGATATTGTCCACGGCCTAATTTGGATGATATTGTCCACGGTCTAATGGATGATATTGTCCACGGCCTAATTTGAATGATATTGTCCGCGGTCTAATGGATGATATTGTCCACAGCCTAAGGGATGATATTGTCCACAGCCTAATGGATGATATTGTCCACGGTCTAATGGATGATATTGTCCACGGCCTAATGGATGATATTGTCCACAGCCTAAGGGATGATATTGTCCACGGCCTAATGGATGATATTGTCCACGGCCTAATGGATGATATTGTCCACGGCCTAATGGATGATATTGTCCACGGCCTAATGGATGATATTGTCCACGGCCTAATGGATGATATTGTCCACAGCCTAAGGGATATTATCCACAGCCTAAGGGATATTCTCCACAACCTAATGGATGATACTGTCCTCGGCCTAATGGATGATATTGTCCACAGCCTAAGGGATGATATTGTCTACGGCCTAATGGATGATATTTTCCACAGTCTAAGGGGTGATATTGTCCACGGCCTAATGGATGATATTGTCCACAGCCTAATGAATGGTACTGTCCACCACAGCCTCAGCTTGGGCACGAACTACAGTACCTTCACTGTATGTGTCAGTGAGAGACTTAACAGTGATGGAGCTCTGAAGAGCATCTACAGTAGTCTCTGACAGTGAATAAAATAAGATATCCACCTGTGATTCAGTCATCAGGAAGCCATTATCAGAGAATACACCTGACTCATCCACCTCAAGCCACACGAACAGTGATATTGCGTCGTTTGTTACTTTAACTGTGAAGGTCCAGTTGCTCTTAGATGTTGTTTCAGGCCCAGAGATGGATTCAACCTGTAGTATAAAAGTATGTTTTTCATAATTATATATTAAATAATGGTTACTACTTAATGCAATATTATGAGGTCGGAACATTCATGTTTATATAGGAGACTCGTTACTTCATATCTTGTGAGAAATAATTATCTCCTGTTAAATACTTCTCTATGAAAAGAGAAATCACAGATAGAAAAATAACACAAACTTTTCAATCTGCTTAGATTTCACAGTGATAAATTAGATATTAAAGTGATTTTGCTCTTGGAAATCCTTTTAGACAGATAACAACGGGAAGGACAAGAAGGAAAACTTGCTCGGTAATTAAAATATCAACAAATAATTTTGTCATTCTTGAGACATTTCAACTCATTATATCCTTGATTATTAACAAAAACAGTGAGCCATGTGTGACAAATCCGTTGTGGGTAGGAAAGGGTCTAGGAAAAGGCTATTATTTACTCCCAGGCCAAAACTGATATCTCTGTACAGTAGGAGAGAGGAGTTCTGGAGGTGACAGTTCTACCTTTCCCTGAACAATCGTTCATATCCCACTCCTTTATGTTTCCCTTCCCTCTCCTCTCCCTCTCCCCTACCTGGTTTGAGTCTCACAGCTGTAGTTTCTTCCATAACATACATCTAATGTGGCGACCTTGACCTCTTCAATATGACAATCTTCACAAGTTTAAATATGTTGAGAGAATGTGTCACCGATATGTATTATTTTACCTTATTTAACTGCATGTTTTTCATATTCCTCGGACCTATAAAACTAACATTGACGGTAATAAAACCAGCTTCTTCAAATATCACCATATATGATTGTGTCCTTTCAGTGTCCACCTTCAGGCTTTTGTAGCGTCACTCAGTTGGACATTTACTCATTTTTTTTTTTTTACTTTTCCCTTCAATCATGGAAAATCTAAGTGATCAAGGTCTTCCCTTTCCTTCTCTCATCAGTTTAGCATCGATCAGATTTGCTTCTGCTGTGCATACCGATGGAATTTTAATATTAGTCACGTGCACGAAATATGCCTGATGGAGTCTGATAACTAGACGTAACCCCAATGTTAACTTAATTTCTGCTACTGTTACTGACACTCACTGCTGGGGCCACCACTAGTGACACTGCTGGGGCCACCACTAGTGACACTGCTGGGGCCACCACTAGTGACACTGCTGGGGCCACCACTAGTGACACTGCTGGGGCCACCACTAGTGACACTGCTGGGGCCACCACTAGTAACACTGGGGCCACCACTAGTAACACTGCTGGGGCCACCACTAGTGACACTGCTGGGGCCACCACTAGTGACGCTGCTGGGGCCACCACTAGCGACACTGCTGGGACCACCACTAGTAACACTGCTGGGACCACCACTAGTGACACTGCTGAACCCACCACTAGTAAATTTGCGGGGCCCCACCACTAGAACACTGCGGGCCCCCACCACTATAACACCGGGGCCACCACAAGTGACGCTGTTTGGGCCCACCACTAATAACACGCGGGGGCCCACCACTATAACACTGGGGGGGGCCACCACTAGTAACACTGGGGGGCCCAAAACCACTATAACACGCTGGGGCCCCCCACTAGTGCCCACTGCGGGGCCCAAACCACTAAAACACTGCTGGACCCCCCACTAGTGCCCTTTCTAAACCCACCACAAGTCACTGCGGGGGCCCCACCACTATTAACACTGCGGGGGGCCACCCCCTAGTAACACTCGGGGGCCACCACTAGTAACACGCTGGGGCCCCACTAGTAACATTTGCGGGGGGCCACCACAAGTAACACGGGCCCCCCACTATAACACTGCGGGGGCCACCACAAGTGACACTCCCGGGGGCCACCACTATGACACTCCCGGGGGCCACCCCCATTGACACGCTGGGGCCACCACTAGTGACACGGGCGGGGGCCCCACTAGAAAACATTGCGGGGGCCCAAACCACAAGTAAAAACGGGGCTGGGGCCACCACTAGTAACCCTGCGGGGCCACCACTAGTAACACTGCGGGGGGCCAAAATTTTTTTACCCCCCAAGAATACTTTGGGGCCACCACTAGTAAACACGCGGGGGCCCACCACTAGTGACATTTGGGGGGGGCCCAAACCACTAATGACTTTTGGGGGAGGCCCCCCAACTAGGGGAAAAACTGCGGGGCCACCCACAAGTAAAAACTGTTGGGCCCACACAAGTAACACTGTTGGGCCCACCACTATAACACTGCGGGGCCACCACTGTAACATTTGCGGGGCCACCATTTAGTAAACACTGCGGGGGCCACCATTTAGTAACACTGCTGGGGCCACCACTATAACACTGCTGGGGCCACCACTAGTAACACTGCGGGGCCCCCTAGTAACACTGCGGGGCCACCACTTGACGCTGCGGGGGCCACCATTTGGGGAAACACTTTTGGGGGGCCCCCACCCACTAGTAACACTGTTGGGCCCACCACTATTAACACGGGGACCACCACAGTAACACTGCTGGGGGCCCACCACTAGTGAAAACGCGGGGCCACCATTTATGACCCCTGCTGGGCCACCACTATGACACGGGCCGGGGGAAAACCACTAAAAAAACACTGCTGGGGCCCACCACTAGTAACACTGCGGGGGGCCACCACTAGTAACCTGCTTGGGGCCACCACTAAAACCCTTTTGCTGGGGCCACCACTATAACACGCTGGGGCCACCACAAGTAAAATTTGCGGGGGCCCACCACAAAATAACACTGCTGGGGGCCACCACAAAATAAAAACTGGGGGGGCCACCACTGGGGAACACTGCGGGGGCCCAAAACCACTATGACATTTTCGGGGGCCACCACTAGTAAAACGGGTTTGGGGCCACCACAAGTGACAAAAGTTTGGCCCCAAACCACTATTGACACTGTTTTGGCGCCACCACTAGGACACTGGCGGCCCGGGCCACCACTAGAAACCACGCGGGGGCCACCCCAAGAAACCACCCCCGGGGGGCCAACCATTAGTAACACTGCGGGGGGCCAAACCACTAGGGGACACGGGCTGGGCCACCATAGTGAAAACTGCGGGGCCCCACTAGTAACCTGCTGGGGCCACCCCCTAGTAAACTGCGGGGGCCCCCCAATATGACACTGCTGGGCCACCATAAAACACTGCTTGGGCCCCCCCTAGTAACACTGCGGGGGCCACCACTAAGAAAACCCCTGGGGCCAACCACTATAACACGCGGGGGGCCCCCACTAGTGACACTGCGGGGCCCCACCATAGTGACACTGCGGGGGGCCACCACTAGAAACACTGGCGGGGGCCCCCCCAAAGTAAAAAACCTGGGGCTACCAAAGAAAACCAGCTGGGGCCACCACTAGTGACACGCTGGGGCCACCACTAGAAAACACTGGGGGGGGCCCAAACCCCCCCCCCTTTAAATGGACACTGCTGGGGCCACCCAAAGTGAAAAAACCGGGCCCAGACACGCCCCCCACCTTTTGGGCCAAATTTCCGCTGAGCTATAAACCCTGATATCTTTAAATTAATAAAATAAAGGGCCACTACAGGGGGGGGAATTTTAAATTTATATTGACGGAGTAATCGCTAATAGCCCCCTTCTTAAAAACCCTTTTTCCCCAGTTTTGTTTGGTAGTCCTTCAGTGTTAGACTTACAGTTTAAAGTATCATTGAAGCGGCATTGATAATAAAAACATTTTTTTTTTCAAACAATACCCCCCTAATACAGACCCCTTCACTTGTAACTTTTCCTTTTTTTCTCGTTCCCTTTTTTATTTTTTACTAGACAATGAGTTCTTGCATCCAATAACCCCAAACTTCATTTATTCCCAACTAATCTGCAGGATGAAAAAAATAGTTTATTTTTGGTTCCCCCATTCATTTTTTCCCAAGAAGAAAATTACAACTTCTTTGTTTTTTTTTTGTAATTCAGGGCCCAAAAAAAAAACTATTAATGAAGACATTTCCCCAATGGTTTAAATCATGTGGAAGAAAATTTATCACATAAATTACGACTTAAATTTTCTCGCACATGAGCTAATCTTTCTCACTTCGGGCCTTCAATATCTTTAAAACCAAATTTTTTTGGCCCAATTCACGCTCTACGACATTTTAAACCGCGAAAAATGTAAAATGGATCGCACCCGCAAAATTTTCCCTTTACATTTCCCCTGTCTTGTTTTTGATGTTTCACTTTACACAGACTCATCACATCCCTGAGGTTTTTTTTCCCTTTTTTATTTTTCCCGTCATATTTAAATTTGGGCAGTCACTGCTACTTTTTACTCCCCAGCGTCTTATTTTTCCCACTTCAAACATATTTTAAAAAACCCCAAATTTTTAACTAAAAATTTTTCCCATTCCCAGTATTTTATAAAATTTTAAATGACCCCAAATGCTAAAAGTGTAAAAAATATAAAAATTTGGGACGGAATGGGGAATTTTTTTTTTTTTTTAGGGAACTCGGGGTGATCCTACAGGAATCCAGATCAACAGTTTTTTTCATGGTTTTTTTGATTTTGAGTCACAAGCCCCAGAAGTCTGAATAAGTGGCGTTTAAAAGGGAAAAAGAATTAGAACACAGATTTAAAAAATCTGTTTTGATAAAGCCCCTAAAATGGCAAACGTCTAAAAAAAAAGGGAAAACCCAGATGTTGCACAGTGCCCCAGTTTTCATTTTGTGGGTTTTGTTTACCATTCATTTTTACGGGATTAAAAAACCTGTCCCCCCTTTATGGGGCTCCGAATATTAAGAAACTTACAACCGCTGACAACCCACATAACAATTTTAGACACGTCCCCATAACAGTACATGGGGAAAGTACCCATCTTTGGGTTTACCCAGGGGGAAAAGTTGTCGGGGAGCGGGCCGGGGGGGGGCCCTAGAAAACCAGTTGTAGGTGAACACGTTTAACCCACACGTTTTTTCTGATCATTTTCCCTTTTCCTTTACATAAATTACTAATCCAAGCCCTTGCAAAAAAATTTAAAGGTTGCCACAAAATTTTCCTTTTC